CAGGCCAGCAATGTAGTAACTCTGACCTATCATTCCAGCTCCCCACCAGAAATAGTGAACATAGAATACTGGGTCCATATCCCATCCTCCTCTTTTTAGGGGACAGATGAAATTGAGATGTCAAAACCTGAGGCCTTCCTATTTCAACTCCTCTTCTCACCTCTTTCATTTTACATTGTAAATGACCAGAAAAGGAAGATCAGAGCCCAGAGAGGAGAATGTGAGAGTTGCCCTTCAAGGGGCAGGGAACAGTCTTTTCACTTTAAAATGTTTCTACTTTATTTAAGTGCCATGATATAGTGGTTAGGGCACTAGACCTAGTGTCAGGAAGTCCTGTTTTCAAATCCTACCTCAGATACTAGTTATGTGTCTCTGAACACATCATTTCACCATTTCAGTTTCCACTTGTCCAAAATTAGGAGGTCAGTTTCAATGGACTCTAAGGTCCCATCCAGCTTTTAATCTATGATCCTGTGCCCTGAGAGGCCATCACCAGACCCGAGGGCCCTTGTGCCCTCACCTCAGGCATTCAAATCCCAAGCTGTGAGCTCAAGTATCATACATTAGCTAAGTGCTGAGGCAAAGAGGGTGGCTATTTTTATTTTGGGGCAGGAAAGTGTCACTGGAGAGGAAACATCTGTTCCAGGTTATTGACTCTTGAGCTTTATATAGAGGCCTTTTTCATGGTGGGACTGTTTAAATACACACACACACACACACACACACACAAACAAAAGACCACTCTACCAACAACTATGTGATTTGGCCCAGGAAAAAAATAAGACAAAGCAGTTCCCACCCTATACTTCTCCCACCTCCCACCTTTAGAATGTGTCCTGAAGGAAGAAAAAGAAGACTCTCCTAGCCTAGGTGGTTTCTGAAATTCTCTGGCAATATAAATTTGGAATAACAATACCTCTTTCTTCCCCACTCTTGCTATCTTATAATAGACTATGTCCAAAGAAGCTTCTCCCCTTTGGAACTCAGGTTTTTGGAGCTTTCTAGCCCCCACCAGTAAGTATGCCCACCAGAGTGACCTCAGCTGGGACAGCAAGACCATTTGAATGCGTTTGGGCATTTCCAAGTCAACATGTTTGAAACAAACCAATTACCTTCCCTCTGAAAATTACTCTTCAGGTTCTGCCATCTTCCCAGTCCTCCAGGTTCCTAACCTTGGAGTCATCTTTGAGTCTTCCATCTGAATGTCTTCCCTACCCTCCTACCCCCATTTTTATCCAGTTTCCATCTACCTCCACAATAACAGCTGACATTTATGAAACTTAATGTTTCCAATGTGTTTTATATACATCATCTCATTTGAGCCTCAAACCACTCTGTGCAGTAGGCACTAAAGTTAGTGAGGCTCAGAGTGACTCAGATTTGTTGAATCCCAAAGTCCTACCCACCTCTGTTGTAACAGCAACTCTCTGAGTAGGCACAGAGGATCACGGATGGTAGAACTGGAAAGGACCCCAGAGTGAAGGTACACAGTTAGAAGTGTCAGAGGTAGGTAGGATTTAAACCCAAGTCTTCCTGACTGCAAGGCCAGCTTTCTACTCCTCTCTAACCTAGACTGCCACTGCATCTTTCATTTCTGCTGCCTTCTCAATAACATTAGCCACTGAGAGTTCAGGCTCTTGAAATCCCTCTCTCCTGTGCTACTTAGCTTTGCTAAATGGTCTCCCAGATGCCAATTTCTCTTCTCTGTGATCCATCCTCCATACAGCTGCCAAAATAATCTTCAAAAGGCACAAGTCTGTCCTTGTGAATTCCCTGCTGAAAACCTGTTAGTGGCTCCCTATTTTCTTTAGGATAAAAATCGGCCTGGGATTTAAGGACCTCCACAATCTGTCATCTATCTAATTTTCTGATCTTATCTTGGTTTTGGAACCAGAAGTCAAATTGTAGTTACATTAAGAAAAAAACAAAAAGATGTACATAGTGGGACAAAACAAATTGTACATAACAAATTCACAGTTTTATATTCCATCCCTTTTCAGTTTTTCTTTCTATATTGAAATGTCCCAGTTTGCTGATATTTATTAAAAGCATAAAATTTAAAAAATGTAAATTTTTAAAATTCTGTCCTCACTGAACTTTACAGCCTAATCAAACTGCATTCCTAGTTGCTTAGTGCATTGAACCATCCATCTCTGGCCTCGGAGACCTTGCACAAGCCAACCCTGCTCCCTGCCTCTTGCAATCCTTATCATCTTCTTTGAAGATTTAGCTCAAGTTCCTGAAGCTTCCCCTGATACTTCTACTTGTTAGTAGTCTCTCTTTCCTCAGATTCCTTTGCATTTATATATCTATGTACACATTCTATCTTCCAATAGAATCTAAGCTCCTGGAGGGAAAGGACAGTCTCACCTTTCTAACACTATTGCCTAGCACTGTGTCTTGCACATTCTGTTTTTTATCTAGACCTGCGATTCCATTAGTGTGGGATGTTCCTCCTATAGAAACTACTTGCACTGACACATATGAGTATTAAAGAGTTATCTGGATGCCCTAAGAGGTTAAGAGGTTGTTTGTATCTCCAGTGCTTAGCGCAATTCTTGGCACATAGTAATTGCTTAATAAATACTTATTGATTGATTTGACTGATCATACATAATGACCAGTGACATCGGATGTGTCAGAAGCAGAACTCAAACCCAAGTTTGAATTCCAAGGCTCACTATACTAGGCTGTCTCCCACATTGTATATAGTAGGCACTTAATGTTTGTTCATTGAATTTGTTGAACTCCAAAGTCCTACTCATCTCTCTGAATAGAATTACACAGGATCACAGATATAGAGCCGAAAAGGACCTCTATATAGTCCAAATCCCTCATTTTACAGATGAAGAAACTGAGGCTGAAAGTCACATAGCAAGTAAGTGACATGGAAAGGATTTGAACTCAGGTCCTCTGACTCCAAAATCACCTACCCTGAGTAGCAAAGAGCCCTCCTCTCTGGGGGCAGTAGGAAAGTTTGGACCACCCACCAACACTGTCAGTCTCCCATTCACCTGTTTCCAAGGGTCTCTGGGAAGGAATAGGAGACAGTGACAGCCTCTGAAGGTGCTGCCTGCCAAAGAGAGCCATTTGAGCTGTTCCCTGGCCTCCAGAAACACAGGGGTTGCTCAGTTGGTGGAAGAGCTCCCTGTCTTGGAAAGGGAGTGGGGCTCCAGCTGCTTAACTGCTTCTTCCCTTCTTTCTGTTCTTCTTCCCTCCTCCCCATCCCTTCTCTTCTTCTCCCCTCTGTCTTCTCTCCTCCTGTTTCCAGTGGAGGATGTGGAGGTACATTTTGTTTTCCAGATTGAGGCTGAGAGCTGCCAGGAGAAGGGAGGAACGAAGGACAAGAACAATGAAAAGCCCGGCTCCACGGGCCCTCTTATTCTCCCTGTTTCTCTCTGTGGAGCAGAGCTCATGGTTGAAGGGTGTGAAACCCAGTTGCCAAATTGCATAAGACTCTAAAAAGATCCATATGTCTGGGCTGAATGGAGCCGTTGAGCTCAGGGAGGTGGGAGGGAGAGAGGGAAGAAGGGAGGATAACATCACTTACTGGACGGGGACTCTGCTCTGTCCTTTGGAAGGGATAGAAGATTGGATATCGGCTTTGAACAAATGCCCCTGGACTTGTGCTGACCTAGGCTGGAGCATCCAGGGTGCCAGGTAAGGAGGAGAGGAGAAGAGGTCTGGAAACTTGAGCCTGTGTAAGGCTCACAACCCTAGGGCTTTGATTTTTTTTCTGCTTTGCTTTCCATTCCTCCAGCCAGGACAGTGTCTAAGTTGCCATCAGCACATATGAATGTGAAACCATTTCCCCTGCCTTGGCTAGTGAGGTGATTGTCCAAGATTAGCCCTCCACAACCAAGGGAATATCCCCCTCCCCATCTTCGAACCTTCACAATGCAGCCTTCTTTGGGGTTCAGTACAAACAGCTGGTGTACAGCTGTGCAACACATCTGGATGGCAGGGACTGCAGGAAGACACCAGAGCCAATGGAAACCCTGTTGGCCATCTTGGAGGGTCATGAGGTACCTCTCCAAAGACGTGGGGTGGTACCCTGATACTCTATCCAGATCCCAGCTTGGGTAAATGTGTCTTATCTTCTCTTTGAATCCCTTTGGTCCTCTTCTTCAGTTTCATTTGAAGAAGCCAGGACTGACTTTGTGTAGAGAGGCCAGCCCAAATATACATCTGTTTACCAGATGTATATTTTCCCTAGAGGTGAAAATAGCCCAGCTGCAGGGGAAGGGGGCTGGGGGTGGGGATGGGGAAAAATGTCTTGGTGCTGGAGGGGCAGGGAGGGGTAGATTTCTTTGAAGTTGGGTCATCCCAGGGGATAGTATCCAAATGACATTTGAAGACAAAATGGCTAGGGTGACCAATAAGTGGGGTGAAAGGGGGAGTACCAAAAAGCAGGGAGCACTTAGAAAGCTCTCATCCATACTCCTTGCCAATACATATCCATCCATGTTTAGAATGTAAATTCCTTGAAAGTAGAGATTGTTTAACTTTTTCCCTGTCTATACCTATCAGCTAACACATAGTAGGCACTTAATAACTGGTTTTTGATTGATTGAACCCTCTCTTCCAAGAAGTCTTCCCTGACTGAGTCTCTCTCCTCCAAATTACTTTTCCTACACTTTTTGACTCTCTAAACCAAAAGTGTCAAACACTCCACCAGCAGGAATGCAGCCTGCAACACTCCCCAGTGCAGCCTGAACCAGATTGAAATGTAATTGAGAGTTGGTGCAGTGGATAGAGCACCAGCCCTGGAGTCAGGAGGACCTGAGTTCAAATCTGGCCTCAGACTGACCACTTGACACTTACTAGCTGTGTGACCCTGGGCAAGTCACTTAACCCCAATCACAAAAAAAATGTGATTGAGAAATAATAAATAAAATAAAAATACAGTGGAAAATAGATAATGTTAATATGAGGTTTTCTAAGTCAAAATATGGTCTGCAGGGGCTTCTTATGAAAGGTTCCCTGTTTCTATTTGAGTTTGACACCACTACCATAAACCTATGTAACCTAGACCCCAACCAGGCTGAGTAGGGAAAGAGAATCCCTATATTGCATGCTGCCTGTAGAACATAATTTCAGATTGGTAGAGAATATAATGATAGAATCTGCCATGACCACATGAGGGGCTAAATTGGTGTGAGAGATTTGGAGAGGAGAGGCATTCTTGATTCCTTCTTTAAGAAAGGCCGTGCAAGTTCCGTACTCCCTTGAAGATTGACTCCAAGCACCTAGAAAAGGAGAGAAAGACAGACTTTGGAAGGCAAGCATATAAGCCAGTGCCTCAACATGTCTCTCTGTCTATTTCCTTGTATAGTTTAATCTGTACAACTTCTAAATTTCTGTGTACTATTTGCTTGAATAAATGGATTTACTCACTATTGACTATTTGTGATGGTCTTTTGTATAATAGCATTTGGTGGGAAAGGGCCAAGACAGTGGGTTTAAGTTTGGGGTACCCTTCCCCTTTAAGGGGTAGCTACTGAATAAAGCTGAGAAGCCTCTTTGGATTTTAACTTAAAAGTCATACCTCTTGACCAGCAATATTTAGGGGGACAGATGGACATAATTCTAGTATAGCTTCTCTCTCTTTAGGGAGAATATGTGAGGGGGGTAGGGAGGAAGGAAGGGAGAGAATTTGGAACTCAAAATTTTAAAAATGAATGTTAAAATCCCACCTTCCACAGGAATCCACCCTTTAACCCCTCAATTCCATTGCTTTCCTACTGTTAATTATCTTCTACTTATCCTGTGTATAGCTTGCTTTGTATATATTTGTATATATTTGTTTGTTTGTTGTCTGACCCATTAGATTCTAAGCTTCTTAAGCGCAAGGACTGTCTTTTTCCTCTTTTTGTATCCCCTGCACTTAGCACAGTGCCTGGTATATAGTAGGCACTTAATAAATGTTTACCCATTGATCAATAACTTTGTCTAGTCTTAAGAGAGTTGACTGGGGCGCCAAGAGGTTAAATGCATGCCCAGGATCACGTCAGCATATGTTGGAATCAGAATTTGAACCCCAGTCTTTCTACCTCCAGTATCCTCTATTTACTATTGCCCCAATCTAACTCTTACTTTATAATATGTTGTTTTCTACTTTTGCCTTTTAAACTTCCTGAACCCTCGTGTGTCTCCCTAACCAGGTGAAAAGGCTTCCTGAAAGCAGGTGGTGGATATTTATCTTCCCTCAGGTTTTCCTCTGTTTCCCTAACCTGGTTGCAGGGGACTTGGTGCCTAGCTAAATTACTAACTGGCTGGTTGAATTCCAATAGCCAGAGTCAAGCATGTGTGTGTGGGTAGGTTGGGAGAGAGCCAGGGCAACCAGCCGTGGGGGTGAGCTTGGGGGAGGGGTCAGACTCTTCCAGCCCGTGTGAAATCAGTCCAAGGCCGACTGGGGAAGCAGCCAGAGTGGGTGGTCAGTTCCTGTCTTTGACCCTCAGGGCAGCGCCCACAGGTCCTGCTGGGCTCCCACACCTTGGCTAAGAATAGCTCTCTTCTTTCCTTCCAGCCTCCATGGGCCCTCCTCTGGGAGGCCTGAGAGGAGAGAGCCGGAGTGTCCAGGCTGTCCCCTTCCTGTCATTCTCTCCTCTGACCTTAGAGATCAAAGTCCCACTCTGCATCTCTATTATAGCCTGCTGCCCAGCCCTGCCCCCCATAAAGGGAGGACAGAGGCATTAGGACCAGGACTCTAAGAAGTAACTCCTTCTACCAAGCCGCCCACAGTTGGGGAAGGGAAGGGGCACTCCAAAGGTATACCTAGAGGAGAGTACTCCCAACTAGAGTTACTCACTCTGTGATGCAAAGTCACAGGGAAGGAAAGAAGTCATGCATTAAATAATGCTGAGGGATGGAGGGTATGGTGTATAAGAGTGTGTGTGTGTGTGTGTGTGTGTGTGTGTGTGTGTGTGTGTGTGTGTGTAGAGCTCTGTTTAATTCATTCACTTACCATTCAATTTATTAGACACCTACTATATGCAAATCACTGGGCTAGACACTGAGGAAACAAAGCACACCCTGGCTTCATGGAGTTTATATTCTACTAGGCTGGATTCCCCTAGGTAGGGGAGGTAGGCCTCTCAGGTAGGCCTTTGTCTGGTCGGGGGTGGGGAACCTGCAGCCTCAAGGTCGCATGTGGTCTTCTAGGTCCTTGGGTACGCTCTTTTGACTGAATCCAAACTTCGCAGAACAAATCCTTTTATTAAAGGGATTTGCTCAGGGAAGTTTGGATTCAAAGGGCCACACTTGAGTCCCTAGAGAGTCACTTGTAGCCTTGAGGCCACAGGTTCCCGGCCTCTGGTCTGGGTGGTGCTAGCAGTGGGGAATTCTCTGTTGGGAGAGCCTTGCAGTTAGGTTAATTCTCCCCTCACACTATCTGAAATTATTTCAGCTGGAGTGGGCCACTATCTCTAGGTGCAGGAAACATGGGTTGGGTCTATGCAACAAAAACCTGCTGCCTCTGAGAGTCTAAGCTGCCTTCTTCCGTGGCAGGCTGAAGAGGAAGGGCTTTTCTGCTCCCCACATCTCCATCTCCATCTCCATTTCCCTTTCTCCTTTTCTTTTTGTTCTGACAACCTCCTCCCTCCCACCTCCTTGTACTCTTTTAAGGCTTAATGGGTAGCAAACTGGAGAGTCGATTGTCCGGGCCTTAGTCATTTCCCCTACCACTACCTCCACTCAGGGATTTTTAACTTGGGGTTCATGAACTTTTTTTTATGTTTTGGTAACTTTAATTCAACATAATTTGTTTTCTTTATGCATTTAAAAGCATTATTCTACAGTGCCTGGCACATAGTAGGTACTTAATAAATGTTTATTGCATTGAATTGGTAAGGGGTCTTTTGGCTTCACTGGGATATAATGGGATATTCAGCAGGTAGGAAGGCAGGTCAGCAGGATCTGGGTCCTGCACTACTACTGGCCTCATCGTCTGATTTTAGTCAAGTTACTAAACTGAGCATTAGTTTCCCCATCTGCATTATGGGCAAAATACTCTCTTAACTGAGGACAAAAGGAAAAGATAATAGATGAGAAAAGGTTTTGGAAACAGAGTCACCACAGAAATCTCAAGATTATTATCAAGCTTCTCTGGGCTTACTCAGTTCCTGAACCCTTCTTCAAAATAAATAAACGGGTGGGGGGGGTAGTGGGGACTGGGGTGGGGACGAAGGCTAATTATAGACGCAGAAAACTGGGCATTGTGCTCCAGAACGAGGAAGAAAAAAGGATTTGTCTCCGGAAGCCCCCATTATTTGGGGGAGGGGCTGAGGTGGGGGGAATTGCCTGGAAAGGAGAGATAAGCCTCTTTGACCCAGCTGTTTGTCATCTGCAGTTGAAATTCAGTTGCTTCCCACTTCCCCCTCCCACCCCCAGCAAAACACACACACACACACACACACACACACACACACACACACACACACACACACACACACACACACACACACACACACACACACCCCCTCTTACCTTTTGTTAACTGAAAAATAAATTGAGTTTGAGATTAATCCACCACAATCTGAGTCACTGATCTCCAGCATGTGGCTATCTCCAGGAAGTGATTTAGCGAGACTTTGAGGACCCTAGGAACTTTCTCTTAATTTCCCTCCTTGAATTTACCCATATGGGGACTCCCCTGGCCATTTAGGATCACAGTACTTAGAGCTGGACAGGCCTTTGGAAACGGTCTAGTCCATTTTAAGGAGGCCCTGGATTTGAGCCCCAGCTGTCAAACTAGTGGTATTGTTTAACCTGGGGCAAGCTACCTCATCTCTCCAGATGTCAGTGGGCAAGCTACCTCATCTCTCCAGATCTCAGTTTAAATGGGTCCCTAAGGTCTCCACAAACCCCCTCACTTTTTTTGTTCGTTTGTTTTTTAACAATCAGAGGTTAGGTGTTTTTGCCCCAGGTCAAGAAGTTTGTGTGTCAGAGCTCTAATCGGAACCCAGGGCTTCAGACTCTGAATTCAGCACTTTTTGCACTGTGATTTGGATAATAATAGCTGAACATTTATAAAGTGCTTTATGTACATAATCGCAGATGACCCTCACAACAGCATGAGATAGGTAGGTACTACAGGTATTATTGTTATGATGATGATGATTCTTGTCCATGTATGATGTGAACCAAGAAGTGTCAATATATTCCTTCCAAGTGTTAGAGTCTGATAATCCCCTCCCCAACTTTTGTTTTTAAACAACTGAGGAAATGGAGGATCAGAGAGCTTAACTTTCTTGCCCTTAGTCACACCGCTAGTATGCATCAGAGGTATGACCCTGACCCCTGTTCTTTCCACTATATCATGATGCCCTTCAGTTTCATGGTCTTCAGATTTTGAAGGGACTTTACGTAAATGATGTACTCATCATTAATTAATTAATTGGTTCCATAAACGTTGTTTGGATAGCTAATTTATGCCTGGTACTGTACTTATAGCTTTACTTAGACGATTAGATCTTGACAATTAGATAGCACAGTGCATAGAATGCTGGGCCTAGTCAGGAAGTCAGGAAGAATTCAGTTCAAATTTGACCTTAGATACTTACTAGTTGTATGATGGCTGGGCAAATCACTTAAATTCTGTCTCAGTTCCCTTATTTGTAAAATAGGGATAATAATAGCACCCACCTTTCAGGGTTGTCTCAAGATCAAAGGATATAATTGTAAATTGCTTTGCAAACCTTAAAACTCCAAATAAATGCTTGTTATTATTTTGTTTTTTGGACCTGAGATCTCAGTGAGGTCTTCACCCCATCCCAACCTCTGCATTTTCTGATCGTGTATCATTGTTGTGTATCACCTTATCTATGGCCTTTGATTAAGCCTCCACCTAGTACAGTGAAGTCTTTCTCTGGTTTGCTTAATATCTCAAGGGTAGCATGCAGACTATTCAACTATTGTCTTTCATTACTGATAAGTGAGTGAGCCACTTACTTTTCTGAGGCAGCTAAGTGATATAATGGATAGAATGCTGGATTTGGAGTCAGGAAGACCTGAGTTCAAATACTGCCTTAGACACTTAGCTCTGGGACTCTGGACAAAGGGCCACTTGATCTCTCTCTGTCTCTGTCTCTCTCTCTCCTCCCCCCCCCTTTCTTAGTTTCTTCATAGACAAAACAGGGATGGTGATAGCACCTACTTCCCAGAGATGCTGTGATTATCAAATGAGATAATATATGTAAAGTGCTTTGGAAACCATAATGTGCTCCATAAATGCTAGCTGTTATTAGTATTAATGGTGTCTTTTATTCCACTTAGAGCTTTAGAGGAATACAAGAAAAGTGAGACACAGGTCTTCCGCCTGAAGAAGCATGGAAGTCTTTGGTTTGGAACCCAAATGTAAGGGCCAAGGGAAAGCAGTGGTGTGTAGTGGAGACGACATAACCTGGAGGGATACTCAACTGGGTCATCTGTTATTAACTGCAGCTAACGCAAAGCAACATAGGAGTGAGGTCCAGATGATAGAACTAACTAATCTATAAAGAAGTATTTGGTAGGCGCAAGAAGACAAAGTTGGGAAAAATATGTGAGGGCCCATTGATAGAAGACCTTTGAATATTAGACTGAGATGATATCATAGATTCTAGAGTGGAAAGGACGCAGTATAGGAACCTCCCCTTTAACTATAGGGATGTGCTAGAGCCAGCTCATATCCCCTCAGGAGAGGTGATTGTTAATTTTCAGCATGAGCTTTCATACCTCAGAAATCAGCAAGCCCTACAAATCAGGGCTTCATCTTTTGTTTTGCAGTTTGTCCTGACTTTATAAAGTGATAGAAAAATGTTAATGATACAAATTAAACTTAAAAGTGTATCCTGCTTATATATTTTTTCCTGGACAACTAGTTGTTAAAACTTACCAGCACACTGCTCCCTATCACACTCCTTAAACACTTGCCTTTGAGCCTATATGAAACAAATTAAATCCTTTCCCACATGACAACCGTTCAGATAGTCAAAGAGAATGATTACACCCCTCACCTTATAATTTCTTTAGGTTAAACGCACGAGAAATGGGGAGACATGGTAGGTGCTTGAGCATGAGCGTGACATACGTGAGGTAGATCATTCCGATGGCTGTATGTAGGAACAGCTCCACTGGAGCAAGTGACAGATACATATAGGATCCGCTGGAAGATCAACAGGGCACAATCAACTGAAGGAGGAGGAGGAAGATCACAGAGAGCCGGAGAGCCCGGTGAGGTCAAGGATGTTACACCGACCCATGTACATCGGGGCGCCTTTCCCTTTGCATCCTTTTTGGTCTCAGAGGGAAAGGGGAGAAAGGAAGGTTTCTGTGGGCCGGTCGTGTTTGTAATGGTAATTTTTAGGTACTTGTAAACACCTCAGATTCCCATTTGTTCTCATTTCTGAGTCTGTTTCTTAAGACAGCACCATGATCCTAGGAACCTGGCTGCCCTTGATGAGTTCAGCACACCATTTCTGGGTGAATTACATCCCAGAGTACTGAAAGAACTCACAGCTGTGGCTACGAAGCCACTACTGGAGATTTCTAAAGAAGGGTACAGAAGGGGAGAAGGACCAATAGTCCCATTTTCCAAAAAAATTATGAGTTATAGACTGTTGAGCTTGACTTTTATTACTGGCCAAAAAAGATTTTTAAAAAATTTTCATTAATGTATTTTGTTTTTTTCCATTACAAACATTTACAGAATACCCCTTCTCTACAAAACGTTTCTTGTAACAAAATAAAACAAATAAAGCTAATAATATAGTGACCTCATTAGAAGGCACATGCAACATTCCCCATCTGTAGCACCACCACGCCCTTCTCCATTGTTTTAGAAAAATTAACAGAAATCTATTTTTTTTCACTTTCTCAATCTCCACCCATTGGAACAACAAAAAAGAAAAAAAAATTCCTGGTAATAAATATACATAGTCAAGCAAAGCAAATTCCTTGATTGTATAAAAAAACAGATATGTCTCATTCTACAGCCTAATTCCATCAGCTCTCTGTCATAGGTGGCATAGTTTATTGTCAGCCCTCTGGAATCATGAATGGACATTGTATTGATCCTAGCTCTTACACCTTTTGAGATCATTTCTTTTTGCAGTGTTGTTATTATTGTGTAAATTCTAATCCTGGTTCTCCTTTCATTCTTCATTATTTCGTAAAAGTCTCCAAAATGTTTTGGTTTTCTATTGCTGATGTTATAGTACACAGTTATCTTTTGGTTCTGCTTACTTCGCTCTGTACCAGTTCCTATAAGTCTTCCACGTCCCTTTGAAACCACCCCTTTCATCATTTTTTGGCAGCACAATAGTATTCCATCACATTCATAAACCACAATTTACTCATACATTGTCAATTGATGGGAAACACCATAGTTTCCCTTTTTTTTTTTGCCTCCTCAAAAAGAGCTGCTATAACTTTTTGGACCTTTTCTTCTTTCTTTGATCTCTTTTGGTTATAGGCCTAGCAGTGATGTTGCTGGGACAAAAGGTATAGCTATCTGGTAACTTTTGTGAGTAATTCCAAACTGCTTTCCAGAATGGTTGCTCCCATTTACAATTCCACCAACAGTGTATCAGTGTGTCTGTTTTCCCACAGGCCCTCCAAAATTGCAGAAATGTATATGGATCTCCATCAAGGTTCAGAGTGCTATTTGGTAATCACTTCAAAGTACTGAGTACAAAGTGCTGAGACTCCACCAATATATCTCTAAACCAGACCATGCTAGGCGCCATAGAAATGCAGAGCAAGGGGCATTTAAGGAAAGGTAAAGTAACAGAAAAATTAAAATTAGGTAGTACACATTCTCTGCAACCCAAATGGCGGCCTTCTTCACGTGCTTGCAGAAGATGACAAGTCAATTTTCCAATTAAGCCATCTGTCTCTACACCACAGCAAGAGAGGGACAAAGTCACACCACTTGTGTCATTGGTGTTGAAAGTTAAGAGTCTAACACTTCCTTGATTAATCACTTCTCTTCCAATATCATTGCAGGAATATACTATTCTCGGCATGGTTGCTAGAGAGCATCGACTTCTCATAGACCACAGCCTATGGTGCCAACTTCTCAAAAAGTGGATGAATACTCTGGCCTCTTGCCCTGGCTGCTGGTTTCAAGATGCTGTATCCAGGTCCTCAACATCTGCACCTATTTCCATGTCTCCCTGTTGATTCTAACTGTGCAGCTGGTCCAGCCTCTTTCATGAGACTTTTACAATTCTTTAAAATAATCTCTCGTGTCGGAGCTTTATCATGGCGCTGAACTCTGTACTGCTCTGAAAAAGAGTAGTATAGTGGAAAGGAGGCCTGATTTGGAATCAGTGGACCTGGATTCTGCCACTTATCAGCTGGGTGACCTTGCACAAATCTGGGCATCAGTTTCTTCCTATATAAAATAAAAGGGTTGGAATAAAGGATCTCTAAAACCATTCTGGTAACTGTATCTATGATCTTATGATCCTATACCTTAATCAGAATTCATGCTATATGGTAGACTTTCTGGGAAACTATACAATTTTCTGGGAAGTACAGTAAATCTATCTATAGACATGTGCATCAGTAATTTCAAACTCAAATAGGAATGGTACCTCTAAATGGTACCTAAGGATCCCTGAAGGCTGCATATTGACTTAGAAAACAATATATTAACATTATCTATAATCTATTGTATTTGTATTTATTTTGCTAAATATTTCCAAATTGCATTTTAATCTGGTTCAAGTCATACTCTGGTGTTGTTTATTATTATTATTATTATTTCTAGTCTTTTTTTTATTTTTGGCATTCATTTTTAAAAATCTTGAGTTCCAAATTCTCTCCTTCCCTGGAGCCCCTCCCCCACCCATCGAGGAGGCAAATAATATGATATAATTTATACATATGAAGTCATGTAAAACATATTTCCATATTAGCCATCTATATGCATTATTAAAAGAATAGATGGCGAACAATCTAGAAAGGGAAGGAGTGATCAATAAGAGCCAGAAGGACTTCATTTACAAAAACAAAAGCTCATGCCAGACTAATATTATTTCCATTTTTGACACTTACGAGATTGGCATATCAGGGGCCTGCAGGAGGCCAAGTCTGCCTCGATTTCAGGGAATATTTAACAAAGTCTTTCAAGCTGTCCTTTTTGACAAGACGGAGAGGTTTGGGCAAGATGGTATTGCAGTTGGTTGGATTTGTAACCGGTTCGATTCAATTAAACCAAGATTTATTAAACTATATGCGAGACACCACTATGCATCAGGGATACAAAGACAAAACACCTTCCCTCAAGGACCTTGTGTTCTCTGAGGAGATACAATACAGACACAATAAATACCATAGAAGGAGAATTAAAGAGAGAGAAAGAGAATGAACTAGGAGGATGAGGGAGTTTCTTTGAGGAGGTGGCACCTGAGCTGACCTGGAAGGAAGACCAGAATTCTGACAGGTGGAGAGGAGGAGGGAACGAATTGCAGCCAAGGGGGGGGCAGATTGTATAAATATGTAGACTTCAGAGATAGAGTGTCGAGTTCGGGGAGCAGTAGGTAGTCTCGTTTGTCTGGAACTAGAGTTCCAGACAATTAGTATGAAATAAGACTGGAAAGGTAGGGCTATATTGTGCAAGGCTAAAGAGTTTGCATTTTATCTTACGGACAATGGGGAGCCATTGAAGGATTTTGAGCAGGGAACTGATACAGTCAGAGCTGGGTCATAGAAAGAATATTTTCAGACCCCTATCAGGGGTGTGCTGGAGACCACTCTTGACAGCTGATTGTTAAATTTTCTCTGTGGGCATTTATACCTCAGAAATCAAATGCTAAACATCAGAGCCACGATTTATTGTTTTGTTGATTGCCTAGACTTAAGAAAATGATAGGGAAAATGTTAACAATGCAGATTAAACAGTGTGCTGTGTACATTTCTTTTCCCTCAGAGAGCTGGTTGTTAGACATTTACCACCACACCACTCAGCAATGTGAAGGATAGATTGGAGAGGGAAGAGGTAGGAATGACAAGAACAATTAAGAAGCTACTGAAAAAGTCCAGGTAAGAGGTGTTAAGAGCTTCAATAGAGTGATGGCCATGTTGGTTGAGAGAAGGCAACAGCTGTGAAATGCTGTGAAAAAAGAACTGATGAGATATAGTATTTGACTGGTGATGGAGAAGGAAGAGTAGTTGGTGATTCCAAGGTTATGAATCTGGGTGACTAGGAGGATGGTAACGCCCCCACAGAAAGAGGGAATTTACTGTAGGAGGGGTAGATTTAGTAGGGGAAGATAATGAGCTCTGTTTCAGATATGTGATTATTGGATACCCAGGGAAGAGATGTCTGGCAAGCAGTTGATGTCATGATTCAAATTCAAGAGATAGAGTAGGAGAAAAAGAGAAGTACTTAATTGGTGAATGTTAACTTGGAGAGGAAGGGCCATACTAAAGGACCTGAGGAATCTATCTTTGGCCTTCTGTTTAACTTTTTTTTTTTTAATGACATGGGTGAAAGAATAGAGGACATGTTTATCCAATTAACAGATGACCCAAAGCCAATCCATTGGATGACAGAATTAATATCCAAAAAACAACTGAAAGATGAAATTCAGCAGAGATACACCTAAGTTTTCCCCCTCACCCCTACACTCCCAATCAACTTCACAAGTCAAAGATGGTGGAGGATGGTGGAGATCAGATAACAGATCCCTTGAAGAAGATCTGGATTTTTTTTTTTTAGCAGACTGCAAATACAACATGAGTCAACAGTATAATACAACGGCCAGAAAAAAGCTGACATCATCTTAGGCCCCATTAAGAGAGACACAGTTTTCAGAGCCCAGGAAGGGACAGTGCTGCCGTACCCTACTCTAATTATATTACGTCTAGAATGTTGTATTCCATTTGGGTGCCATATGTTAGGAAGGAAGAACTAGGAGTAACTGGTGGAAATGGTAGAGAAGATTTAGGCTTGAGGTAAAGACCTATTTCCCAACATTAAAGCTGTTTTAAAGTGAAATAGGTGCCCTCAGGAGGTTGAGGGAGAGCTCCAAAGAATGCTGGGTGAGCACTTCTCAAGGATTCTTGTTCAGGTAACAGGTTGGTAGAGCTTGGTTTAGAGATGGCCTCTAAGGGCCCCTTCCACCTCTGAGAATCTGCATTATTTCTTCTTTTGAG